TCGTCGTCGTCACCGCCTCCTCCTCGCCACTGCAGCAACCCACTCGACATGACCGCTGTTGTTGTGACGGCGATTAGCAGTGAAGCGTCATCTCATCTCCATTCTCTCTCACCACCGTCTCTCGCCTCCCTTACTCCAACCTCCATCCATTCTCTCTCTACACCGCCCGCCACCACCACTCATGGCCACCATTTTAGGAGCCATCATCGGCGACTTCGCCCGCCACAACCACCATCTGTAAACAGCGGAAACCAATTGTTTCTCACCATAACGTAACCCAACTTTCTCTACAGTTTCCTCAGTTCAATGCAGCTTATCCTGCGGCCAATTTGTCCCGCCTTCTTCCTTTGCTCTCATATTTTAATAGCCCCCATTTTTCAAGCGCTTAGGGAATAAAAACTTCCCTGAATTGCATTCTACACGTCACATAAACCGGATATGGTCTCTCAAATCATTGATTGCGATAACCCAATAACCCCACTTCATATGAGGCCTCCCATAACCCAATTTTACTCTCAACGCCAGAAAAGAATAGAGGAAACTGATCTCATTGAGAAGTCTGTGGGTCATGAAGGGTTAATGAAGGAGAAGAATACGAGGACGGTGGGAAGCATCGAATTAACCAAATTTGGGATTAATTGTAATGCATTGAGTAATTTAGATCATCAGCTTAGGTTACAAATATTGAAAAATGATTTTGGTAAAGTCAGTAAAAATAGGATCTACTGGAGTAAAGTTAATTATAGTGACAGTATTAGGAAGAGTAGAAATAGTGATTGTTTTGTAAACAAGTTGAAGAATTTATGGCTATTGACCAAGAAATTATATAATATGTGACCAATTAGTTTGAAAATCCGTGACTACGTGACCTATAAATTTTGAATTTATGACCGACGAATTAATTATGACCTACAAATTTTTTTATACGTAACCATTAAAAAATCTGTGACCAACTAATTTGGAAATCTATGACCTGCAAATAAACTGTGAACAAGTTATAATCGAGTTGTGACCAATAAAAGTTTTGATTTGTGATTGATAAATAATGTGTGACCATGAAATTTTTGATTCGTGATCGAGAAATAACCTGCGACATATAAAATTATGACAAAAAAAGAATGTGTGACATAAAAAATTGTTAATTTGTGACTGTCTATAAGTCGTGACTTATAATATTTGTGATTTGTGGCCGATAAAAAAATTGTGACGTATATATATTTTTTATTTGTGATCGATAAATAAATTGTGACCAATAACATTTTTGATTCGTGACCGATGAATAATCTGTGACTTATAAAATTTTGTTTCGTGACCGATTTGCAATGAATGAAATGTTAAGGTTACTAAGTACAGGTTTGAGTTCACAAGTCACAGTAATTTTTTATAGGTCACAAATCAATATAAATGAGTCATAGATCAATATTAACAAGTCACGGTTTAAAATTACATGTCACATTTTATATTACTAGCCAAAGGTAACAATCAAGAGGTCAAAAATAATGTCAAACGTACAAAAAAAATGTGGCAGAGTTGTCGCCGACATATTCGTCGGAGTTGGAACAATTGCTGAAATCGGAGTAGTCGTCATAATAAATTGACGGCGGAACGGTCACCGGAATAGTTATCGGAACGATCGTCGGAATCGGAGTAATTGTCGGAACGGTCGAGGGGCCAGTCGTTTGAGTGGCAAGGGTGGCGGAAGTGGGGTGAGTTAATTATATATATATATATATTGATATTTATATATATGAATAAAAAAANGTGATAAAATTAAGAGCATGTTTTGCTAATCTTAAGATTCAATTAAAATTGAAAATATATCCGTTATTGGGTCTCACTCGTCTAATAAAAGTCAACAATAACGGCTAATTTTTCAATTTTAATCCGATTTTAATATTTACCGAACATGCCCTTAAAGTAGGATTTATAAATTTTTCCCATTCCATTTTTGCAATCAAATTAACCTTTAATGTTGACCAAACAAACTAGCCCGAAATTAATGCAGCTCAATATATGCTCTGTTGGGCCAAAGAGGCCCAAAGTTGATGAAAACAGCCCATTTAGATGCCTGACCCACCTGATTACTTAAAAAAATATCCTACTGAGATGCCCAAAATTCCGTAGAGAACGCCATTTATGAAATAAAGAACAAAAGATAAAGCTCTTTGCATAGACAGAGAGAGAAGAAATTCAAGAAAATAAAATCCCATTTACCGCCGATCATTTCAAGGCAGACCCTCCAAGAGATTCACCAACACTACTTCTATCCGATCCGATCCGATCCGATCTATTCATTTCTGTATCTGTATATACTGTTATTTTATTTTTCCATTTTACCAATTATGAGGCGAAATAAAGAGCATTTTTTCCAATTCATTGTTTCACAAAATCTCGTATTATTTGTGTGATTTTCAGGGTTTTGTGGAATGCGGTGAACCATTGAGGTAAAGTTAGGGTTTTTGTGGGTGGAGTGTGGGGGATCGTGAACTAGGGTTTGTAGAGTTGCGAGCTTTGTTGTTTGTGGTTGTGGGTTTTCGAGCGTGTGTATGAAGATTTGGTGTTTTCGGTTTCTATGCTTCGGAGAAGAGGAGGAAGATAGGAATTGTGATAATAGAAATCTTGATAGTAGGTACCATTTCAATTTCGATAATAAGGGAATAGAGGCAATGAGAGAGGGTATTTTAGGAAATGGGAGTGAGGAGGTGGAGAATGATGAATCTGAATTAGTTTCTTGGGAACCTTCTAGGGATGGTAGTGGTGCTGGTGCTGGTGGTAATAGGCGGGGGTTAGGATTCCAGGTGGGCGAGGAGAGGGTGAATGCGATGGAGAATAATGTAAACTTCTATTTTAATCGGGAGTTTGACCAAAAGAGTGAGGATTTCTTTAAGTGGATTGATGATTTGGGGTCCAGCAGTACTGGTGATGGCAGAGGGAGTCGGGGGGTGAAAGTGGACGTTGATCTGAATTTGGGGTTGGGTGCTGAGTCTTCTTCATCATCGTCGTCCACTATGGTGCTGGGGAGAGAGGATCGCAGTTGTGACTCTCAGAATAAACGTCCCAAAGTTCATTCACTATCCTTGTAATTTTCTATCCTTCTGCTTGTGCTTGCATGTTGAAATGGTAGACTTAATTTATTCGTGTCAATGAATTTAATGTCTGGAATATCTAGGTGTAGTAATTGTGTAACTGAGGCATAACTCTCAGTATTGCAATATATGCCAAATCCACAATGATATAGTCTGGAACGGAAGTTCGCTATTGTTTTGAAATTAAATTTAAGTGAATTTTAGTAATGTAATGGCTACTGATGTTGTTTCCTAATATATGCTGGAATGGATTGTTAACTTGGACGGACACGTGCGCACGACATGGTCACATGCGTGATTTTTTTAAAAAGTAGTACACGGACATGCTGATATGTGATTTTTTGGAAAATGTTAGGTCACAGACATGTCAATTTAGATTCTGTAAAATTTTACATTTATCCATAGTATTCTTATTTTTATACTTTTTAATATAAAAACACGACTTATAGCATGTCAAACACTTGCCCTATGAGTGTCCCTAAAACATCCCTTGAGTGTCGGAAGTCTAAAAAGTATATAAAAAATAAGACAGGAAGTGTGGCTTGTTGGATGCATGGCCTAGAGTGTCGGTGTCCAAAACTACCTGTCTGCCCCACTAGGAGTATCAATGCTTCATAGATTGTGGTGCAAGTCACGACAAGGAGAATTTCCTATTTCATATTCTTGTGTAGTTGTGTTTGGTCTCTTAATTTAATATTTCTTTATAGTTTCCAACTAGAAGTAGGATTTTTCATCCTTTCCACTAAATATTTCATTGTTTATAGGTTCTGAAATTTATTCGTAGTGGTTTAAAGCTTCCTATGAACTCAAGGTTTTCAAATATTTTTTATTCATTATTAATATCTTTCATTTTGAAGTAGCTCGAATCATTCATCCGTTATATTCTTATATATAAATCAGGCGGATATATTCTTGAAAGACAAACAATTTGGGGTTCAAGAGTTCTCATCTCACCATTACACTTCTCCTTGATATTTGGTCCTTATGTAATTTATAATTGGTTCCTATGACTGATAATATGTTTGAGAAAACTATAAACCGCTCCTCATAATCTCTTTTGATGCTTCAGCATTGTCATTACCCAGCTTCTCTGAATTCTGACAATGAATAATTTTGCAGGGATTGGGGCAGTCTTGAAAATGAAATCCATTACCTTTCTCCAGTGCACGAGAATTTTGGTGATGAGGATATGCCTAATTCTAGTATCACGGGAGACAGTGCAGGGAATGATAGTGGTGGGACCTTAAAAATTGAGGACTTTGAAGTCCGTATGGATCTTACTGATGACTTATTGCATATGGTATGCATTATCGTAGTTCAGCAATCAGGTGCTTTTTGTTTTTCATTTTAGACTCTGAGTTGATGATTTTAATTTTATTTATATACTGCAGGTTTTCTCTTTCTTGGACGACATTGACCTTTGCCGAGCAGCTAGGGTTTGTAGGCAGTGGAGAGAGGCAAGTTCTCATGAAGATTTCTGGCGGTATTTGAATTTTGAGAATCGATGTATCTCACCACACCAATGTGAGTGTTGTGAAACTACTATTTGTTTAATAACTTATTCATAAATGATTTCTTGTTTACCAATAAATGTTAAAAAAATCCAAATAAGAGTTAGATATTGACACATCCTGCCTGAATGAGAATGTTTTTTGAGAATAAAGATAAAGAGTATTAAAATAGTTGATGAGTAAAACCTGCCTGCTTGGATCTGGCTCTCTTAACATTAATGACTGGCATTCTCATATGAGAATATTTTTTGAGAATAAAGATAGAGAGTATTAAAATAGTTCATGAGTAAAGCCTGCCTGCTTGGGTCTGCCTCTCTTAACATTAATGATTGTCATTCACATAAAATTTATGAAGCATTTGAGATATCTACCTTTAGAATGCAAGGAAAAAAATAGAATTATGAATGTCGAGAAGCTCGAAATGATAGAATGAACTAAGAGGATCAGGGCTACTAACATTACCAAGAAAGCAAGAATCAAAGAATAAGATCTTGTGTGGTATTTGACACAATATTCTGGGTGTTAAGTTTTTAAGAGACTAGTTTGATAGACTTATCATGTACAAAATATCAACAATGACAAACTAAGTTTTATTGCCAATAAGTTTGTGTCGGCTACATGAATTTTTTTCCTTCTTGTTTTGCTCATTGCTACATCCTTAGCCCGTGTTTGGTCCCCATTAAAAATAGCTTTTGGGGAAAAATGTAGTTTGGAATAGTGATTTTTTTGGAAAATGTATGGTTAAAAATTAAAGAAAAGTTTTGGGTTTACATGTAATATTGTTTTATTGAAAAATTTGTGGTTGACAAGAAGAAAGAGAAAAATGCATTTTCGAATAAAATGGAGCTCAGATAGGGGCTTATTAACCTACAACATGCTATGTTAGTTTTGGTCTACCCTATCCACTTCAATCATGTTTCACTTAGATCACATCACTCTTATGAACATGAGCCGCATTAGGTCTGTGCAAGATACATCCCAACAACCTAATTTTGCTCATTCCTTAATTTATCAACTGGAGTCAGCTTTTCTTGTAATTGTTTGGTCTCATTTATTTAGTATGACTTATGACCAATGCATTGACTTTGTATTAAGGATAGATTGCTGCCTTGAAAGAGTGTGTTGGGAGCTAGAAAAGTTCAGTTCTTATGTGTTGATGTTATCACATTATCTCTTAAAAAATTGAAACTGGACAAGAGATTGAATAGTGGTCTTCGATTTTGATCTTGCCAAACTGTCTTTAGGACAATGACCAATAAATATGTGGTCAAGGTTTAGCTGTAGAAACTTAATGCAGGATATGAGCTCAGATTGCAGGGAAGGCCCTTAAGCTCAGAATTTGGGCTATACCTCCCCCCACCCCCCACATAACTAATTCGTTTTCCAGCTGGAGCTTATTGATGGTGAAATTTTCCATGCTTTGAGTTTGTTAAAATGGCTTTTTTATGCTTACCTGAATGTCAAAACTTTTTGATACTAGCTATTAACTGAACCTAGCTTCTTGTTTGCCTTTTCAGTCGAAGACATGTGTCGTCGGTATCCCAATGCCACTGCAGTGAATGTTTACGGTACTCCTGCTATCCATTCACTTGCGATGAAAGCAGTCTCTTCATTGAGGTAATGTGGATTTGTTCTTGTGACTCATTTAAGTTTGTCCATTGCAAGGCTGCTGCTGATTTATATGATTATATGTCAGAAATCTTGAGGTTTTGACCCTGGGCAAAGGTCAGTTAGGGGATAGCTTTTTCCTAGCGGTAACAGATTGCCACGCTTTGAAGAGTTTGACTGTCAATGATGCCACTTTGGGTAACGGAATCCAGGAGATAACTATTTATCACGATAGATTGTGCGATCTCCAGATAGTTAAGTGCCGCGTGCTCCGTGTTTCTATCAGGTGATGGTGTATGTTTAATTATATTCTAAATTTTCAATCAACTGTGCACAAGTTTTCTGAATCGCAGTGTTTTTCAGGTGCCCCCAGCTTGAAACCTTGTCTCTAAAGCGCAGCAGTATGCCACATGCTGTTCTCAATTGTCCCCTTTTGCGTGACCTTGATATAGCTTCTTGTCACAAGCTTTCAGATGCTGCAATTCGATCAGCAGCAACGTCATGCCCACTCTTGGAATCCTTGGATATGTCTAACTGTTCTTGTGTTAGTGATGAGACAGTACGTGAAATAGCTATGGTCTGTGTAAATCTCACCATCCTTGATGCTTCATACTGCCCAAACATCTCTCTTGAGGTTTAGTTCTTTTACTTTCTCTTTTAATAGTATATTAATGTGTATAGCTGTCTGACTTCTTATTTCTCTTTCAAGTCTGTGAGACTTCCAATGTTGACAGTCCTTAAGCTTCACAGCTGTGAGGGTATAACATCAGCTTCAATGGCTGCCATATCTCATAGTTACTCGTTAAAGGTTTGAATTTTATTCTTGGGCACTTCTTTGTTTCCCAACTTTTATGATAGGATGGTTTATTTAATGTATACTCTTTGAGGTTGTTGAAATCTGGATTTTTCTGTATATTGTAGGTTCTCGAGCTCGATAATTGCAGCTTATTGACATCAGTATCATTGGACCTGCCACGCCTTGAGAACATAAGGCTTGTGCATTGTCGCAAGTATGTTCTACTCTTGTTACCCTGATTTCTGAGCCTTAAAGTCAGTTATACTACAGTACTTCCGCTGAGAATGACTCTGTACTGTCATGCTTGCAGATTTGTTGATTTAAATCTAAGAAGCAGCGTGCTGTCATCAATTACAGTTTCCAATTGTCCTTCTCTCCAAAGAATCAATATCACGTCCAATGCCCTTAAAGTATGTCTTCAATTGAAGGAAATTTTTCCTCCATCTAATGGCTATTGTTTACTTAGAAAATGCTTCTCCTATAAATTTGTTGTAGTTAGATCTCGAGAATAATTTTCCCGGAGTTATCATACGAATAATTTTTTCCCTTCAATTTTTTCTTTCAGAAGTTAGTTTTGCAGAAGCAAGAAAGCTTGACCTCATTGGCATTGCAATGCCCGTTCTTGCAAGAAGTTGACCTTACTGAATGTGAATCATTGACAAACTCTATTTGTGAAGTTTTCAGTGATGGAGGTGGCTGCCCTGTATTGAGATCATTAGTCCTTGATAGTTGTGAGGTTTGTCATTATAGTGTTAGTCATTATAGTTCTTTTTTTTCCCCTCTACTATGCTTCTTTTCATATCATATTTTCTTGGTACCTTTGAAAGAAAAAACTTATTTTCAATTTATCAGGTAGTACACACTAAAAGGTAGAATATTTTGTGTTCCATATTGTTATTCTACATATTTTGACAAATGAACTCTGAGCCGCATAGTGACCCTGCTTGCTATTATAGCACCCCTCATTCGGCCTCTACAGCTTCACTCAAATAGGGCTGCTTCACTGAGTGAAATAGTCCACCACATTATAACTTCTATATCTGTTGGATATAAAATATATTACCCTTGAATTGTGGAATACACTTGATCTCTGAGAAATTCAGTAGATGGCCAACTATAATATGTTTTCTCAAGACCATTTGTCCCTTTTGTCTTCTATAGCTATTGTATCAGTGTAATTTAATGTATACTTAATATTGAAAATTGAGGCTAAAATTCTGGATAACCACTTATTGGATTATCTGGGAATAGTCTCTTTTGTTTTAAGTATGTGCTATACTCTGATGTATTACTTCACAATGTTTAAAATTTTTAATCTAGTTCTCTTGGGCATTGTTATACATGAGACGTGTTAAACCTTATAAATATTAAATCCAGTTTATTTCTGTCTATTTTCCATGTGCAGTGTACTTTTAATAATTTTAATCTGTTTGTATCTGATTATAGTGATTTGTGTTTCCTCAGAGTTTGACAGCTGTGAGTTTCTGCAGTACTTCATTAGTTAACCTGTCCCTTGGTGGTTGCCGTGCAATTACGTCTGTTGAACTCAGATGCCCTTATCTTGAGCATGTTTCATTAGATGGTTGTGATCATCTTGAAAGAGCATCTTTTTATCCTGTAAGCGACCATTATGCTATCACCTTTTTAAGCTTTTAGCATTTCATTTTGTGTTTCATGTTGGGGTTGAAGCCCATGCTCTTCTATTGCCCTGCTTTGATATGCCATACCAATTTTCTTGTAAAGAAATAGGTGACTGGGCTTTATATATCCTTCGATGCTTCTGTACCCTGTTTAAGCCGTTTGTTTCATCTCTGAAGTTGTTTGTCAGACTTACTCTTCCCTCGAGTATTGGAGGACTACATTTTTGTTACTTCATTGGTCTTGGTTATCAGGCTTCTTATCATATATATCTGCATTGCAGGTTGGTCTTAAGTCCCTGAATTTGGGTATCTGTCCCAAATTAAATGTACTGCATATTGAAGCCCCACAAATGGTTTCACTTGAACTTAAGGGGTGTGGCGTATTGTCTGATGCATCTATTAATTGCCCACTTCTGACATCTTTGGACGCATCCTTCTGCAGGTGATTTACTGTCATTGTTACTTGTTTTGCATTTCTAACACTTTTAAAGCGACATTTTATTTTCTAGTCTTTTAATCTCTCATTTTCTAACTGGTATTGTTCTATGCTTTGTCCAGTCAACTCAAGGATGACTGCTTATCTGCAACTACTTCGTCATGCCCCCTTATTGAGTCATTAGTATTAATGTCATGCCCTTCTATTGGGCCCGATGGACTCCTGTCTTTGCGATGCCTGCCAAATTTGACTTACCTTGATTTGTCCTACACTTTTTTGGTTAATCTGCAGCCTGTGTTTGACTCCTGTTTGTATTTGAAGGTAATATTCTCTACCTTTTACTTGAATTCTTTCCTTGCTTTAGATGAACAACTATTGTTTATAAATTTAGAATTAGGCACAGCCGAAAAATCTATGCCATCAGTACTTGCATCTTGCTGCTGAGATTATTTATTGCTTCCCATTCATCATATAGTCAACTTGGGTAATCTAGGTTTCTTGATGATAGCTTCAAGGCAAGTCTTCCAATTTGCTGGTTCCTACTTGTTTTTTAGGTTCTAAAACTGCAAGCATGCAAGTATCTCGCTGACTCTTCTTTGGAGCCTCTTTACAAAGATGGTGCTCTCCCAGCCCTATGCGAACTGGACTTGTCCTATGGAACGCTCTGCCAGTCAGCGATAGAGAAGTTGCTCACGTGCTGTACACAATTAACTCATGTTAGCTTGAATGGTTGTGTCAATATGCATGATTTGAACTGGGGCATTAATAGTGATATGCCATCTGAGACTCACACATATTATGGATCGTTTGGCTCTTCTTCTCTTGGTGATGTCTTCCTTCCAACGGAACATCGTTTACTGCAGAACCTGAACTGTGTTGGTTGTCCAAATATCAAGAAGGTCGTTATTCCTCCTATGGCGAGATGTGTCCATTTATCATCACTAAACCTTTCACTGTCTACAAATTTGAAGGAAGTTGATGTATCTTGTTGCAATTTATGCTATCTTAACTTGAGGTATGGATGTTGTCCAACTTGATTGTGTTATTTTTTTTTTTCCGAGACATTGTTTTTGTGTATTACCTTCATCTCATAATATGTTTTATTGCTCAGCAATTCTTGTTCTTTGGAAATTTTGAAGCTCGACTGTCCAAGATTAACCAGCCTCTTTCTTCAGGTATGTTTTTCCCCACTCAACATTCTCCTAGTAGTTGTCGTTGGAGTGCTTGTTTGTTCAAGAGTGAGTTCTATTACTAGCGGCTGACCTCTTCTTAGGCACAACAGATATTCACATAACATGTTGATAATTTTATTTATGCAGAAAATGTTGATAATTTTTTTATTTTTTAAAATTCTTGTAGAGTATAACTAGTATAGATAGGCTGAGTTTGGATATTTAGCCCCTGTATGGGCTCCATTAAAATTAAATTTTGGAGAAAAATGTGTTTTGGAATAGTTATTTTTTGGAGAGATTGGTTTAAAATTAAGGAAAAGTTTTGGGTTTACGTGTAATATTATTTTATTGGAGAACGTGTGGTTGAAAATAAGTAAAAAAAACGTATTTTTTCAAAAATGAAGCTCAAACATGGGCTTATTGTTTCTGAATGTCCTCTGATGGGCAGCAATAGAATTATATTAGTAGAGTTTGATTCATTTATTATATTGTTCCATCCTCGTTTCCACCATTTGGGAAAGTATACTGTCTTTTGATGCTAAAACTGCACATATTCCTCGGGCCACAGATGACTGGCGTCTCTGAGTTGCAGAAATGCTCTCTTCAATAGTTAGGGGGACTGGACCGGTTGGGTTTGTTGGTCCTGTAGTTGATCAGTCCTTTTTCTGGTCTAATAATACCGCGTTTGTATCAAAATCCATTTTATTTGAAGAAAGTGACATTTTAACTGCAACCTGATAAACTGATCTCATTTTTAACCCTATCACCCTTTTGCTTTGTCCTGATTGCCCATTTTCTTCTGCCAAAATGCATGTTCTCATTGATATCAGTCTCTCTGGAAGTCAATTGATTCCTTCCCCTCTGTTAAATTATGAACTAGTTATTTGTGATGTTACTGCTGTTGCAGTTGGAGATTTCATCCCAAGTCCCCCTTTATTAAAATTTGTTGGTCCAGTGGGATTTATGTATCACTCTAGTGTCATTAGGGTGTAGACTGTACAATTTATATGATCCAAATTGGGGCTTAGCAATTGACCATGGAGTTTGATCCTGGAAATTGGTATCAGAGATTCCGTACGGAAATTGTCATTCGGGCGTAAAATGCAACTCAATCAATTCTGGGGCTTAGCAAATAAGATTTGAGTTTGTTCCTAAGTTACATGTAATGTAGCGTATGAAATAAACATCATACTCATAAGGAATCCTGGCATGACAAATATGTCAAATTGAGCATACAAGTTTGTTATGGTTTACCTTTGCGTGTAAAAAAGCTGGAATTTTAGATCCAAATGGCAACCCTCAGCCAGTACTCTCTCACGCTTTATGCCACATAAAACCACCATTTATAAAATAATATTTTTAGTTAATACTGCTAACGAGTCACATGAAGGCTTGTCATAAGACTTTACATGTCAAAAGGGCATGCGTCTCAGGTGCATTAATATGGCAAAATTTCATTTTTGGAGATTATGTATCTTGCCATTTAAATTTACATGTTAAAAACACCTCGTATGATTTTGAGAAAGCAATTTATTGAACTTTACAGTAACTGATGACTGAGATTCTCGGTCGAAGTGTTAAACGAATTCCATTGTCTTCAGCATTGAATATTGTGGCTTGTTTGGTAAGGTGTACTCTACAGTAGTTGACATCATTAGAGAAGAAACGATAAACTGAATATCAAGATCAAGCATGCACTTGTTGAAGTTGCTTTGAATGATTGATGTTATCTTCTAATCGTCACCCCCTCCCCCCCCAAAAAAAACCCCCCTTTTTGTGTATAGTCTTGTAATATTGACGTGGAAGCGGTTGAAGCTGCCATATCACAGTGTACCATGCTGGAGACGCTTGATGTTCGCTTTTGCCCAAAGGTGATACAAATATTGGAATTACATAGATTATAGATATCTAGTTATCATTATTGGTTAAAATTGTTTATGAAAGACTGTTCTTTCTATCTCCAGATATCTCCATCGAGCATGGGAAGGTTACGTGCTGCATGCCCCAGCTTGAAACGGATCTTCAGCAGCCTAGCACAAACTTAAAGCCGTTGAATGAGCACTCGGCATTTTTCTTGCATGGCACTTATTTATGTCATTGTCTTGTACATGGTGAATTTTCTTCTTTCTGCAGTGGTGTGCTCTTGCGAAAGTAATAGGTCACTCGTCTGATGGAAGAGATGCAATGAATCTTGTTCACCGTGTATCTCTTATTATGTATGTAACCGTTTGTTCGACTTAAGGTATTGCAGTTCTGCGTCGAAGCACCCATTTCTTAAATAAATGAAGTTGAACTCGAATTTTTTGCTATTTGACATGGTTCTTATAACTTGGAAACGAGTAGGCTGTTGAGTTACTAATGATTTATATTTTATTTTCTATTCTGCAAACTCGAGAGTTGACATATGAAACTCCTGGCGCCTTTGTTAGGTAACATCGTCTTGATTTTCATTTCATATATTATTAAGGTGCTGTACAAATCAAAATATTTTTTCATACGTATACCAGAATCTCTCAAATTGGAGTTTGATGTCTGGATGGGCAAAAGTTAAACATGCAAGTTATAAATCAAGACAATTTGCTTAAAATGAGAACGTTGCTATTGCATTGTTTTCAGAGTATGGATTCCAATTTCTTCAACTCCGGGTCCAGGTTTTCGAGTTCCCTGTCTTCTTCTGAAGTCCTATATGCATCGGCCATGGCCTTTCCTTTCTCCAGCACGTCGGTTGGAACTGTTTTAAGAAGACTAATGGGAAAGAAATATCATATATTACATACCTAACCTAAACCTTGTTACATATCTACTGTCAATTATGAAAGAAATATGAAACTTCAGTGCACATTTTGAATGCTCAAAGTTACCTGTCCAATTCATCAAGTGCAGTACCAATTTTCATTTCCATTGATTTAATTGAAGCTCCTGAATCATTCCTTGAAGCACGCAGAAGTAGGGAATCGAGTTCTTCCAAAGCTCTGCACAAGGAATTATGTTATGCTGTAAATGTGATGTTTTTTATTGGTAATTCTATGAAACAGAGTGCATATTCTGAAGCACGTGAAATGACATATTGCAAATATACAACTAAAAATGATACCTTAAACATCCATCGACGTTAGTGAATGCAGATATGCCATTCCCAGCATCAGAAGCATATTGTGCTACCTGTACAAATGCACTTATATCTTGCAACTGAACAGTTGTATTTCAACGAAGCTTGTATATCCAAAACAACAAAAGAATACTGAGGAAAAGCCAAAGGGTGAAGGATAGAACTCCAGGCGAGGCGAGGAAATTTTCAGTGAACATAACATATCAGATGCTGCAACATGACTTTTTAATAGTCTACTACTCTATCTGAATCTCAAAGTAAAAGAAAAATGATGAAATGGTAAACATCAAAGTACGATGTTCACTACGATCTCCTGCTTTAAATCCGTCTCTTCTTCATAAGGAGCATGTAACTTAGCTTATGCATTAAACGGTTCATAATTTTTATGTTATTCTTGTTCCCTTTGGTTCACGTGTTTGTTGGGAGGGAGCAATGAAGAGAATTTCATTATTTTTTCTGTACATCCATATCTAAATCATCAGTTTGCTGTTGTGACTGTGTTTCTTCATTTCATTTCCTTCTTGGCATATGAGGATAGAACTTGCGGTTATTAAGCCAAGCCAATTATTTCAGCTTTTGATCCATTTTTCGAAATCTCATTAAGAGAAAATTTAAAAATTTAACTAGATAAGTAAAGGTGAGTAATGACAGTACAGAACCTGGACTTACAGCTCGAATATTAACACGGAGAGACGCTGCAGGTCCAGATCGTAAAAGATTCCGGCAATCAGCAAATTTAGGTTGATCAACTTCTAGAAATTTCCCTGCGGTTTAAGTAGTAATAATGAAGAAAGTTACCTACTAGTGCAGTCCATTTCTCATCAAATTTCCCTAACATGGTGAAAGTGAAAATTACCAGCCTTAATGCGGATAGATCGCAAATTTTAATCCAGAAAGAGGCTGTTACATTATTTGGATGGAACAAGTAATCATCATATTAAGGTGCCAACAACATAATTTTTCGATGATCATTCAAAATGGTAACAGACAGATGTCGTCCTGAATTTACTACATATAAGGGGCCGGGGGACATGTTGAATATATAAACAATGAATATCACAACCAGATTTTAAAAGAATATCACGATTAGCAGAATCAACCATTGAGAATAATGAATAATAAAGCAGCAGCAAAGATGTCATTACCTAAATCTTTAATTTGCAACTCAGTCAATATAACAGCAGGTATGTAAGCCTCTAATGGATCCAGCTTTTTCCTTTTTAAAAGATTTTATCAAGGATTAGTGAATTACTCATAATGAATGATAAATTTAGGTAGAAATTTTAAGTGCATAATATCATCCTTACTTTTTCAGATACTTGTCCAAAACGCTCCCACCCATAGCATCTGTAATTCCCAGAAAATGATTGTCAGTAATAAATAAATAATTAAATAGAGTAATAAACTACTGAAACTGCTTGTAATATTTGCTGGTACTGTGATTTATCAACTGCGATAAATGGACGATAGTTCGTTTAGTCGTAACAGCGAACGCTTAGCATCAAATAAAGAGAATCTCAAAACCCTCACCTCTCGGTAGAGAGAGAAAATTGAGAAAAACTAACGACAATGAGACGAATCGTCTGCTCTGCCGAGCTTCAGGTGGGAACAATGCGCATCTCACGCTCCGCCGCTGCTTTAAATTGAAGAATGAGACTCGTGAAGAAGGAAAAACCGAACAGAAGCTAACATGCGCCGGGAGGGAGACGGTGGTCGTCGTTACCGCCATATTACGGGCTGATTGCCGGGTGAGGTCTCTTATCCAATTCATCATCCGCCTTGTATTTATGGACGCAAAATTACATTATTACCCTTAAGAGGTTGGCGAATACATCAGGGGAGAAGGCCTGGTCAAACTATTTCCTACTTAAATAAAATAGTGAAGGGTGGGGGCACTATTCATGAGCCGCTGGCTCCGCTAGACTTTTTTTTTTTTTAACGTTTGTTTTAATATTTTAGGTTCTAAATATGCATTCTAAGCGATTTAATTGTGTTTTGAAATGTTGAAGTGCGGCAACCCTAAATATATAATCGACTCGGACAAGCCTTTTTTTTAATTACGTTTGATTTTGATTCCAAATGATCTTATGGGTCGACTCGCTCAAGGCTTTTTTTTTTCTTTTTTGTTATATAGGTCAAATCGGCTAACCTTTTTTTTTTTAACGTTTAATTAAGTATTTTAATTTACAAATATTCGTTTTAAGCAATTTAAAAAATTAGCTCTGCTCGGCTCGGCCCCCTTTTTTTTTTTCTGCGTTTCCAAACCGAGCCGATAGACTTTTAGTCTCGGCTCGGCCAAGCCGCTGAACCGGTTTTTTTTTCTTTTTTACGTTTCCTTCAATATTTTAGATTCTAAATATGCGTTCTAAGCGATTTAATTTTGTTTTGAAGTGTTGAAGTGCGGCCATCCTAAATATATGGTCGA